AAACATTTGTAATTTCACACAGATTCAGGTTACAACCCATAAATATATGTCCCCAGGCCTCTGTGAGAGTAGGCCTGTGGAGTTGTGTTCTGACCTCAGTCAGTTGTGTTCTGACCTCAGTTGTGTTCTGACCTCACTAGGGGAAAGGTCACGGCTGGGTTAGCTCCCAAGGGGTAATTATCAGATATGGCCAGTGCTATGTGCGGTCTTGGGTATGTGAGTTTGTTGACCAAACTGGAGTGGTCCATGGAAGAATTGGCGAGGGCCAAGGAAGAAATTGAGAGGTCCACGTTGGAGAACCTGAAATTAAAGGAAGAGCTGGCGAAATATAAAGGGGAGCCAGTGTCTGACGAAAACTCAAGCGAGTGGAAGGTGGCGAGTAGTGGGAAGACGAAGCTGGTGGTGAAGAAGTACACCAGGATACGACAACAACGACAACAACAGCTAAGTGTAACAACCCGTTCAGTCCCTTGATAGACGAATTGGACTTTAGAACAGTCAGGGACAGGGATGACAAGGAAGGTATAAAAACTTTAATTGTTGGTGACTCACAGGTAAGGTACATGGACAGGGCCTTTTGTGGTAAAAAAAAAAAAAAAAGGATGAGGGTGTGTTTGCCAGGGGCTGGGGTGGGGGATATAATTGACAGGATGGACAATATCTTGTCTGGTAATGGGAACAAACCCATTATCTGCCTCAGTGCAGGAGGCAATGATATTGGCCGGTGTAGGAGCGAGGAGCTTCTTGATAATTTCAAGGCAGCTATAGATCGTATTAGGACTAAAGGAGGGATCCCTATCATATGAGGTGTCCTGCCTAGAAGGAGAGTTGGCAGTGAATGGTTGTCAAGGGCAGTTGGTGTCAACGCCCGTCTTGGCAGATATTGCAGGTCAATATCAGTCCCATTCATTGACAACTGGGACAACTTCTATGGCAGAAGGGACCTTTATGCTAGGGATGGGGTGCACCTGTCTAGGGATGAAGTAGCAACCCTGGCTGGAGCTCTAGAGGGGGCAGTTCAAAAGATATCGAAGTCTTTAAGCTGCTAGGAGAACATATGAGCACGGGGGTGGAGGAGACTGCAGTGGGAGCGGGTAAACAAAGTGAAAGATTACAGGGAAATAGTGTTAGGAATGATGACAAAACTAAATTAGACAGGGAGTTTAAAACTAAACGCGGTAAAGGGAGGACTCAGAACACAACTAACTTAAATGTATACTACGCGAACAGTAGAAGTATGAGAAACAAAATGGATGATATTGGGCCTTGGTATGTACCGAAAAAATCGATATAATAGCATTCACTGAAACATGGATCAACCTAGACACACGTGAGTTACCAGTCGAATACCAAATTGCGGGTTACAAACTGTTCCATACCGATAGGCAAACCAGGAAAGGAGGCGGCGTAGCAATCTATGTTAGGGATAATCTGAAGTGTGAAATAAATTTGGAAATAAAAACTGAGAGGAATACAGAAACAATTTGGATTGAATTAATCGACAGTAGGGAAAAATTAATCACAGGAGTAATATATAGACCTCCCAATCTTGATTGAGTCAATGAGCGACTTATCTGGGATGAAATGCCCAGGGCTTCCATACACAACAAAGTCCGTATAGTAGGCGACTTTAACCTTGGCCAAATAGATTGGACTGACCTTACAGGTAACTCAGAATCAGAGGTTTTTCTCGAGACGATCCAGGACTGTTTTCTAAGTCAACATATAACGGAACCCACACGGGGTAATAATATACTCGATTTAGTTCTGTCAAACAGAGAAAACCTCATTAGCAGTGTCGAGGTAGGGAACGAACTTGCAAACAGCGATCACAAAGAAATTAGATTCCAGTTAGATTTTCAGGGCAGACGTAAGGAAAATTCCACTAAAGTACCAGATTTCAGAAGGGCGAACTTTGACAGTTTAAAGAGGCAGCTGAGAGAGGGGGTGTCGCGCTTGGCCGTGAACCTGACAGATGACACCGACCTGATAACGAGATCTGAGATTGCCGAGTTCCACGACAATTTAAATAGTGAGTTACTTAATGCACAAAGGCAGAACATACCATACAAAAAACTCACATCAGACAACAATAACCTTAAATGGATAAATAATTATTTAAAGAACATCATTGGCCAAAGGAAGGCTATAGGTAGAAGGATAAATCGTGACGAAATTCACCTTCCGGGACTATTATAGGGTATTGGCGAGTAGGGTTAAAACCGATATAAGGAAAGCAAAGAGGAATAATGAGGTAAGGATAGCAAGGGAGGCAAAGACAAACCCCAAAGGATTCTACCAAATGTATCAAACTAAAACACGAGAAAAGATTGGACCAATATGGTCAGACACCGGCGAGCTCACTGATAACGAGAGAAATGAGCAATAATTTGAATAAATATTTTTCAACAGTTTTCACCACCGAAAATTTAAACATGATACCCGAGGCACCGGCTCTATTCAGAGATAGTGAAGAAAACAAATTAAGCGAGATAGTAGTGACTAGTAACGATGTTATTAAGCAAATAGACAAACTAAAGCCTAATAAGTCACCTGGTCCAGATGAGATATTCGCCAGAGTATTAAAGGAATGTAAGGAAGAGCTTAGTATGCCCTTAGCAAAGTTGTTTAACATGTCCTTAAAAACAGGTGTAGTACCAGAATCCTGGAGGAAAGCGAATGTAATACCGATTTTCAAGAAGGGGGATAGATCACTATCCTCTAACTACCGCCCAATCAGTCTAACATCAATAGTAGGCAAATTACTGGAAGCAATCATTTCAAACTCTATTCGAAATCATCTGGAGAAGCACAGATTGATCAATGATTCCCAGCATGGCTTCACAAGCGGACGTTCTTGTCTAACTAATCTATTAACATTCTTTTCATCAGTTATCGAATAGGTGGACGAGGGGCACAATTATGATGTGGTATATCTCGACTTAAGCAAAGCCTTCGACAGAGTCCCCCTCGAAAGACTAATTAGAAAGGTAGAAGCTCATGGCGTCAAAGGTAACATCCTTAAATGGATTAGGGCGTGGTTACAGGACAGGAAACAGCGAGTGAGCATTAACGGCACTAAGTCCCATTGGAGCAACGTCACAAGTGGAGTTCCCCAAGGCTCAGTACTTGGACCATTATTATTTATTATATACATAAACGACATATATATCGGCATAGACAGCAACATAAGTAAATTTGCTGATGACACTAAAATAGGACGTGTTATTAAATCTGACGAGGACTCAGCAAAACTACAGGAAGATCTAAACAAATTTTTCGAATGGTCTGAAAAATGGCAGATGAAATTCAACGTGGACAAATGTAAAGTACTCAGTACAGGAAATGTAAACAGGGAAACCAGATTCCTGATGAACAACGATGCCATAGAGAAATCCGACTGCGAGAGAGATTTAGGAGTAATGATAAGTAGGAACCTTAAGCCAAGTAAGCAATGTGTTTTTGCTTGTAACAAGGCTAATAAAGTACTTGAGTTCATACAAAGGAGTGTTAGTTACAAGACTAGCGAAGTCATCCTAAAACTGTATCTTGCTCTTGTGAGACCACACCTGGATTACGCAGTTCAGTTCTGGTCACCGTATTACAGAATGAATATAGAATCCTTGGAAAGAATTCAGAGGAGAATGACAAGACTAATCCCGGGCATTAGGAACCTTGAGTATAGAGACAGGTTAAAGCATCTTAATTTCCACTCCCTCCAGAGACGTAGAGCGAGGGGCGACCTGATAGAGGTGTATAAGTGGAAGGCAGGGCTAAACAAAGGGGACATTACAAAGGTACTCAAACTATCCAACCAGGAGCGAACTCGTAACAATGGTTTTAAATTAGACAAATTTAGATTTAGGCGGGAAATAGGTAAACACTGGTTTGGAAACAGAGTAGTGGATGAATGGAACAAGTTACCAAATATCATCATTAACTCGAATAAGCTGAATAGCTTCAAACATAGGTTGGATGCTTATATGAGCAATAGGGGTTGGGTGTAAACGGGACTGCCCAGTATGGGCCAATAGGCCCGCTGCAGTTTCCTCCATTCTTATGTTCTTATGTTCTTATGAGTGTAGCCTCTTATCTCTGTGTTGACGTATAGATTACATACCCCCTTACAAGCAGACAGAGAGAGGTTTACCAAGTTCACAGCTTCACACAGTTCACCATTTCACAGCCAGACACCGTACCAAAGAGACGTGTGTGAGCATAGCTCCCAAGGCTGTATCTTTCTCTAATTTTATCAGCTAATTACAAGCTAATAGCTAATGCTCAGTAGTCTGTCAACAAACAATTCTGTAACTACCAGAGCATCCAATATAACGAGAAAATCACCAAGTGTGTTTACATTAAACCAAGGAACCACAAATGAAGATAACAGAACCTCTGTACACTTGTGTATACTTACAAGCTAAGATAATTACAAGTGTAACCCAGGTGGGCTTGGACGACTCAACGACTCAAAACTACGACTGTATCAAAGGTGACACGCCGTGAGACTACCTATTATCTCACCCAGCTTCATCAAAGGTACCAGCTACTACTCTACACTCATTCAGACAAGTGTTAACAAGTGAGATCGTTTGATATCAAACCCCGGCCCAAACAATGGTGGCAGCGGTTACGAATCACAAACAATGGTGGTAGCCGTTACGAATCACAAACAATGGTGGTAGCCGTTACGAATCACAAACAATGGTGGTAGCGGTTACGAATCTAAAAACAACTTATCAGTGCTTCAAGTTCCAGTGATTTCTAGTGAATTAGAGAGAAAACTTTATAAGTACCAAAAAAAATACTTATAAAGTAACACAACAAATAAGTGACTACTACAAGTAACAAATAAGTTACTTTAACTGTGTACCAATACAAGTGGTAACAATAACTTGTAAGTGGTAACACTAACTCTTAAGTGGTTACACAAACACTTAACCTATAGAAAACCCTCAAGACCGAGCAGATGTGTGTGGTTTACAAGAGCCATTACTCACCTTGACAGGAAGGCGATAAGCAGAGACCCAGTGGTACTGTAGTGGATTTCTCCCCTACAAACGCTGTTTGTCGCTGAGTAGCCGACCCCACGAATTCCGTGAAAAACTGCTCGCAAGTAAATACAAGAAGAGCAGTTCTGATGAAAAACGAAGGTGATGAGTCAAAGTTGTCTATGGTAAGATGGTGAGATAAGATAAGCATGACAGGATTATGGTCAGCGGATAAGGATGATAGGAAGTTGGTGAGACAAGATAAAGGGCAGTAAGATGTTCGACATGATAAGGATTACCACCACATCGTCAGAGGCAAATATTTAAATCCTTTTGTAAACCTTGTGTCCCTCGGGCCTTGTGATGCTATTTTGCCACTCACTGTCATTCACCCTATTTTGCCACTCACTGTCATTCACCCTATTTTGCCACTCACTGTCATTCACCCTATTTTACCTGTTTGGCTTACACCTTTATTTGCTTTGTCAACAATATCTACTTTATCTTTTTTTACAATTCCGTCTCCCCATTATTAGCCTGATCTGCTCACCATGTTATCCGGGTTTATTATACATACTTTAGCATCAACAACTTTTACAAACGCTATTTTTACCAGATTCATTCTTTATTCTAAATTATCCACCAAGAGTTCAGAAAAACGTCACAGACTTGAGATATTTCGGTAACGAGTGGAATGAGGTGTAGACATCCTAGAGTCACTTGAAAGCAATGCTCAGCACCACCACTCACCTGTCCGATGCAGTGGAAAATGGACTGAAAAGTGATTCTGACCCAGGAGAATTTGTGGTGGAGGACTTTGGTAGGTAGTGGTCGACGGCTGAGGTAGTGGTGGGGATGTCGTCTGGTGGTCCTGCCTCGGCCTGGTCGTTGACTGGCATGCCACCAGGGCAAATGGCGACGTACTCACTGACACTTGGCTTTATGAAATAAAATTCTGATTAGCTTTTTATACGACGTTATCTTCCTGAAGTTGAAGAATAACTGTACACCATTAAAAGGTATAATTTGCGAAATAATAGAACTTTTTAAAATATTTTAGTTTTATTAATAACGACAGAGTTACTTTTCTGTAGTTAGTTTTTGTAGAGTTTCTGGTGTTTCTGCACAAGATAGTCACTGTAAGGCTGTGTAGACTACAGTAGGACTATAATGTTATCTACAGGGAATCTCCCTCTTTAGAGAAGCAAAACATAATAGATCAATATGAGTCACAGTGAAGTTGTTGTGTTGTGTTACGGTTCACTTAATCATCCAGGTTATGGCAATACACGGTATATCACCGGGTTTAAGCTTCAGGAACAAAAAAAAATATTTTACAGCAAAGTAGCACAATTGGCCTTTATTTTGTATGACTGGACGTAATTCGGTCTATAGCATTTTTTTACAAACTTCGCAAAAATAATGCAGATAAGTTAGTGAAATACACTGTGTAATGACCACGCTCAATAGCCCACAAAACATGTAGCTATGCCTTCTTTATTGAGTCTCCCAACTGAGGCGTCCGATTTCTCATCGCTTCAAGACGCCTGAGTCCTCCATTTTCCCACGACATTGTTGGGTGGCGGGCACTGGTAAACACAGCTGTGAGTGCTAGCTCCCAAATTTGGGATGTTTTCGAGCCTATTACATTATCTGAAGGATATATAGACTTACCTACTTGTGTATAAGGACCTGAGGATAAGATAAGTATCGTCAAGCAACTTTGGTGTTGAGAACTTACTGTTTACCACACGAAAATAACTGCTCGGGGTCCCATCACTCCTGGCTGGGTGTTGTGGGATGTCAACATTGCCCCATGGAAAGTGAATTATCGCTTAAGAACTCTACATGGAAGAGTAAAGAAAAGATAGTATTGGACGAAGTTCTTGAAGACCTTGAGTTGAGTAGCGATGAGTTTAATACGAGTGATGAAGCACAAGGGAAGTTCGAAAGTGAGAAAATACAGCTACAACAAGAGGTAGTGAAAAAGAAAGAAATTTCTAAAAGGATGAGAGAGACAAGCTGGCAAGAGGACAGTGAAAGC